TTTTTTTTTTTTTTTTTTTTTTTTTTTTTTTTACAAAAGGCTATTTTTGAAGTTGAGTTTTTTCTTTCATTTTTTTAGGCTATCGGCAAAAGAACGATAACAGACCTGTAAAAACCGATCACATGTGTCTTCAAAAAGAAAAAAAAAGTTCTTCTACAGAATTAATGTTTTTTCTTTTTCGGACACCTAACATACAGCAGCAAACGTTTCAGCTGTAGTTTCCTAATTTTTAACCTTTTTGCTAGTTTGCCATCTGAACAAAACACTCACCCGTTTTAGCAAACAAATGAACAGCCAAACGAAAATAATTCAAATCCTACAAAATTATTCAACTTTCTTGTTTTCTTTCCCTTTTCTGTCGTATTTCAAAACACATACCTTTAAGATCAATTAAAGATGAAGAGGAAAAAAGAAATAAAAAAAAGACAGGAATCTTTAACGAAACCTCTCAAAAGTTCAAGGAAAAGAACAAAAACAGCTTCTATTTCAGTGGAAAATCTGAACCATTTTAGTGCTATTACATGTCCAAAGATGTCCCAGTTCAAGCAGGACATACTTTCGTAGAGAAAAATGAAAACATTGATAAAAAAAGTTGACATTGGATAACTTCTAAGCGCTTAATTTTCTAAACAGAAACAATGGCATTTGAAGTTCTGATAAACATTACCAAAACAATGAAAAAAAAATGTCATATAACAAAGACGGCAATGCTGCTGCTGCTGCTGCTGCTGCTGCTGAGAAAAAGTTCAGAAGGCCAACAACACAAAAACAGATCGTTAATCCGATTACTACTAAATCTGCATTTGGATTTCAAAGATTTAGCAGAGTGTACGGTGAACTACTGTTCTTTTCCTTGATCCCAATCTAATCGCTATTCATTAATACAGATACTGCAGCGTCTTTGGATTCTACAGTCCATACCACTCGGATACCGCCAACTGCCAGGTCTATCTGAATACATTCTCAAAGCGCTGTGAGGAAAATGAAAGAAAGGGGGAAGACTCTGAGCAGTTCCGGAAAAAGTAAACAACTAACTGCATCGCTCAAAAGAAAATGAAGCCAATTTACTTCAATATTTAGAGAAACAAATTATCGCCGATCAAGTGATTTAATGGGAAAAAATTCAAACTTCTTCAGTTCCAATGTGTAGTTTTCCCCTACTCCGTGTTCCACCAAGTCGAATGTAAAACAGTTCACAGTCAATGACCTTAAGCAATACCTTACATTTGCAAGACAGAAATGCTGGTTGGAACATCAAAAAACTTTTTTATAAATTGCATCAAGAAAAGCATTACTATAACACAAAAAATTTCTTTGCGAATTACAGTAGACATTTAAAAAATTATCTCCAACTACTTCTTCTTAGAGTATTCAAAGACGATATATTTGAAATGCCATATCGGTTGACACTTTTCGACGAAAGCTTTCCAGACGGACCAACAGACTCGGGTCTGTCCTTCGACTCTGATTAACCCTACGATAAATTACCGAAAACCTTTCACCATCTTCCTTTTTCCTTTCCTCACTTCCACCTTCTTCCATCTCCTCTTTTCTCGCAAAAGAAAGCAAAAAATAAAAAAATCAAAAGTAGAATGCTGTTTAGCCATAAAACAACGAATAGGAATTCTACGGAAATAAATAGTGGCAAAAAAAGAAGCCATTGTTTTGTATCATACGACTAACCAACCAAAAGAAAAATAAAAAATTAAATGAGTGAATAAGCAACAAATTGATTGCATTAAATTTCTTTTCTAAGTTAAAATTAAGCAGTAACGATAGAAACAAAAATGATATAATATTAAAAAGGTAAAAGTGAAAAAAAACAGCAATTAAAATTTATAAAGAAAGGCTTCAAATATTTGGTTGAAGAAAACTGCTGAATTTTTTATAATCAATTTTTTTTTCTTTTTCTGGCTGTAATAGTCAAGTAAAAAAAATGAATATATTTAAGTTCAAGTTTTCTGCTCAACCAAATTGATAGCGTTCATTTATACCCCCCCCCCCCACACATACACACAAAAGAAGATCTCTCCAAAAAAAAGTGAACAATAACAGTTGATACAACTTTTTTGCTATTTTTGCACAAAAATATTACTGCAATTTCAGTGGAAAACTGTTGAATAAGTTATGCCATAATCATTATATTTTTTTCCTTGTTTTATATTGCTGCATTTGAGGCAACGAAACAGCAGCAGCAACAACAACAACAAAGGGTAGAAAAAAAATAGCATCAAGCAACAAAATCATCAGGGACAACAACGTTTTAACACTGGTTTTGTGTCATTCTTCTTCTAAGCCTTCTCTGTTTTTTTATTTTTTTTCCCCCAGTTAAACGGAAATATTTGGTTGAAAATTGAAGAATAAACGAAACAGAGGGAAGTGAAAAAAATGGCAAAAGAAAAGAAAAAAAATGAGGAAAGAATAAAACAAAAAAAAAATGAATAAATAAGGAAAAGGAAATGGAAATGAATGAACAGTTTTAGTTTAGGCTGCAAAATAAATGAAGACAGATGGGGACAACTATTGCTCGTTGTGTTGCTGTCATATTTATGTGGTGTGTACATATAGAAACAAATCTATAAACTGCACTTGTTGTTGTTGTTGCTGCTTGACAACTTACCGATCAGGTGTTGTCGCCACTACCATATCGGCTATTTCTACTACTACTACTACTACTACTACTACTACTGCTGCTCTTGCTAGCGGTGATGATGACCCCAACTTTTTGATCTGAACTGTACATAATTGTTTTTGCTGTTGATGATACTGGCATAGTATCAAAATCTATAAAAATTTTTTTGTAACAGCGATAGTAACAGATTCGATGTTGTCACATTTGATTTCCTTCATCCAACTTGTGAAAGGAGTTGATAGGCGGGATAATACGAGAACAATGCAGTAGAAGCGCTGGTAATTTGTAGCACACTGATAACAGCGACCACTTCAACACTAGGGGAAAAAAAACTTTAACTTACGATATATGTATCCGTTAATTAGGCGTTCAAAAAAACCTTCTGCGGAGGAGAACAGATATGTTTGACATGTTAGTCACTTAACTCAAATCTTTCCGTATCCATCGATGTTCATTGGTGTAAAATTGATGAGTAGGAACAATGAAAAAAAGTAAAAAACTTTTGACAAACAAGATTTCCAAAATATTCTTTTTTTGTTTTCCACCTACATTTGCATTTCTACTTGCATCATTGCTTTGTGAAAAATAAAAATATTGCTAAAAAAATAACTTTAGCAGCAACAGGAAAAAAAAAGAAAAAAGTCATCTAAATACTTTTAAAACAGAGGAACAATAAATGTTGCGTCATTTAGTTGATTTTTTTTTTTTGCTTTTTTACCCCATTCTTTTCTCCCTTTTGTTTTTAGTTCAACAAGAAAAAAAAACACCTAGAAAGAGCAGTGTTATTTGATTTTCTTCTCGATCTTCTGTTTAAGTTAAAGATCAGCCAAAGTCCAATTAAGGCAATTAATGAGATAAATAAGTGGTTGAACGAAAGCAAAACAAAATTTGTTGCTTCCTTTGCTCTGCTTCTTTTTGATTTTCCATGTTAGTACAGCAGCAGAACAACGTTGTTGCAGTGTATTTGTAGACGGCTTAGGTTCGTTAATCCAATAAGAAATCAAAGAGGTTCGACAAAAAAGAACATTTATTTTGCAGTTGGGTGCCGACGTTCTCGACAGAATACCAAACAACCAATTAGCCAAAATTGATGGAAGTAGATAACCCAGAATTCGGATTTCAAACCCCAGTGTCACTGTGGGCTGTTCTCAGCATCCACAACCGTCAATGACAGCTACCAGTCATCAAACAGAGCAGGAAAACAATGACAAGGGAGGAAAAAAGATAAGGCTGCCTTCATGAACGGGAACAAATCTTAGAATATCTATCAACTGTTGTTGGCAGAGTTGCGTTATAAATGGGAGAGAAAAAAAAGAAAGAAAAAAGCCCATTGCTTAAATCTCATTATTATTGGCAGCTTGACGACAAATTTGTTCAGTTGCTGATTTGATAACAACCAAAAATTTCAAAAAACTTTCCAAAAACTTTTTTCTTTTCAGTTTTCAAATATATAATCGAATAAAAATGATAATGTTTGCGGAAAGATTAAATTCATCGATTAAAAAAAAAGCAAAAAATGAAAAAATTCAAAAATGACTAATTCAAAATAAATATGTGAAAAAACTTTAATACTTTTATTTTGTTCTAAAAAAACTTTAAAAGTCTGTTTTGACGACCAAAAAAAAAAAAAAACAGTTCACTCAACAAAGAAAAAATCTTTTTTTTGTGTTGGATTAAAACAACAGTTATCAGAAAACAGTCAAAAACAGCTTAGGTCAAAATTGTTGTTCTATTCATATTTCTGTTTGAACTTTTAAACATAAAATTAACTAACGAAACAAAAATAAACGGAAAAGACATTGAGAAAAAATAGCTAAAAAAAAAATTATTACCGATTACGATATACCGAGCAAAGCTTCGTTTATTTCTCTCCGCAACAATATACTGGTCGATGAAGTGTCCAATTTCTATTTGTCAGTAATGTTTAGGAACCCATATAATTAGTGCAAGCAGTGAATAATGATGATAGACACCAAATTACTGTACACATATATTTATATATATATATATACACATACGTATCATCACAAATCAAACAGAAATGTCAGAACAATAAAACTGAGAAAGGTTATATAAGTTGTTACTTTCGTCGATGATCTGCTGATAAGGATTTTGTTGTGACCAAACCAAACAACACAGAACGCCAGTAATACACAAATACAGACACTGTCATTTTCTATCTCTCAAAATGTTGTGACATATAAAAGAGCATTTATATAAGTTAAAAGGCTAAAACCAAAACAACTTCTACCAATCACCTATCCCTCTCCACCTCCTTCCCGCCGTTCTTTTCCGTC